GAGGACCTGCGCACGGTGAAAGAGTTGCGCACGGTGGAAGATAGTAGAATCTTTCCGTTTCAGTCAAATCCATCTTGACTTCGAGTCTATACCACGCAGATCAAATTGGACTATCTTACTCGGAGACAGATGATGTGTACGCTCCTAGATGTATCACAGTGTTTGAGTAAGTCCACACAGCATGAGATCTTGGTCATGATGGTGTTTAGTCACGCGTGCTATCAGGGTTTCGCTCAGTCCTAGTCATCATGCACACACTATTCATCGCCTGTGTTCTTCCTTCAGCGGTATCAGGGGCTCTACGTCGTCTCCAAGTCAGCACTACCACCTCGGTTCCCGCGACTACAGTCCCGCCTACCACGATTGATGCTCCAACTTTGCAGAACACCTGTGATATCTACTGCCAGGGGCTTAACGGGGGTGCTTCTTACTGTAAACTTGATCTTAGCCCACCCACGTGCCAGGGAGGTGATCAGCCTTGTGGTACAATAGCTATCTGTGGTCCCGCTATCACCGTAACACCGACTGACGTAGTACCAACTGGTGATGGAACGTATGAGCCTGCCTGTGACACGATGTGCCAGAGTCTCAATGATGAGGCTTCATACTGCAAGTGGTGGCTTCCTCGCCCTACTTGTCTTGGTGGCGATCAACCATGTGGTGATCAAACTGTATGCACCTCCCAGACGTGGCCTCCTGCTCCCACACCTTCTCTCCCAGCGGGTGCGCACCCCTACGAGTCTGCCCCCTGCAACGCCTACTGCGTCGGTCTCAATGGGCCAACTTCGTACTGTAAGTGGTGGAAGAACGAGCCTGTCTGTCAGGGTGGCGATCAATCTTGTGGCCCATCGGATTGTCCCACCGGCACTCCTGCTCCCACCGAAGGTCCTCCTGATGCACATGTTGGTCCCAGCTCCAACTGCGATGCTTACTGTACCGCTATTAATCCTGACCTTTCTTTTGATCGCGTGTCGTACTGCAAGTGGTGGCTCCACGTGCCTGTCTGTTACGATGGTGATCAGCCTTGTGGTCCGAGCGTCTGCAGCAACTTCGGTGAGACTACAACCCCGACTACATCGATCCCATCTGTGACGCCGACTACCCAGGCTACTACTATTTCCTCTGCGACATCTCAGATTGTCACCACGCAGTCGGCCACTACTTTGACTCCTACAACTCAGGTTGTTACTACTGTGGCTCCTACTACTCAGGCTGTTACCACTGGGGCTCCTACTACTCAGCTGTTACCACTGTGACTCCTACTACTCAG